TCTGTAACAGCAGGTAGCACCTTCTATTCCACCTTGGCTGATTTCAAAAAATCTAAGCAAGCTGGGCCCTGGTCAGCATGTGGGTAGGAGACAACAAAAAGCCTCAAGGCGTAGGCTAAACTACATAGTTGAAAAAGCATACTGGAAGAAGAGACTGTTAAACCCCTTTGGTACCATTGCCAAGAAAACTACATGGTCCATGTAGGCACCAGGAGTTGACCTGAACTCTAAGGAGACTTTTATAGTTGTCATGTTTTAGGTGCTAGAAAATTATATGAGAAAAGAGAATGAATAATGAGGCTGAGATTGAAGAAGTTACCAATACTGTAGACGTCTTTAGTGGCAGAGGCAAGGAATGAAATAAGCATCATGAGGCAAAACCTGCCACTTTTGTCTTTGGGTGAGACATGGATATAAGGATGGAGTTTGCATCATGATGTCATTGTGTGCGTGTTAATATTTTGACATAATGTTGGCTTGACCTGAACCAGTCTTTATTTATTTATTTTTGGTGGCATTTACCAGATGTACTTACTAAACTAGAAAGATTTTGCATTGTTTTTCCCAATGCAGATCTTTATAGGTTACTATTATTATCATTATAAGCTAATCATTATCATTATAAGCTTATCATTATAAGCTAATAAACCAGGTTTGCTATTAAACCATTTTTTACAAAATATAATTTTAGCCAGTAACAAAATACATATTGAATGATGAAACTTTGCTATAAGTGACCAATCACAATCTATCCCTGTGTGCATGTAGATAAAGATGAGTAGAACAAAGAACTTGTTTGTGTAGAACAACTAAAAACCATTTAGTTGAATGTTTTCCTGTTTGCCATCAGGAAGAAATATTCTTTCTTCAGAGATAGCATTTTTATTTCATATCAAAAGGAGCTAAAAAAGAAGGTCAGTTGACATATAATTCAGAATTTGGTGATCAAGTTTTGTACTGTGTCCTTTCAGGCTATTTGTAGAGTGTTGGGTGTTTTTAAAATGCATTAAAACATTATGTTAAGATCTGTTAAGCTGGGTCACTATATGCCCCCCCCCCCAAATCATGTGAAGAATGGTAGTGATGTAATTCAGCATTCTGCAAGATATAATTCTGGTCTGCACTTGCAGCAGAATTAGGTAAAAATGAATAGGCTGCACTACTTCAGTCTAGAAAGCTTGTGGCCCAAACATGTCAAATATGATAAAGAGGATTTTCAACTGAATCCTGTGTGGGTTGGAGGAAAAAAAACTTGGAATGAATGGAGGAGGGCAAATGTTTCTCTCTGAAAAAAGACAGAAAAAAAGAGAGCCCTGGAAACTATAGGCCTAACATTCTGTTACTGCTACATGAGAAGACTGTAATACAGATCATAAAACCATTAACCTACACCCAGATAAGGGTGTCGCCTACACCCAGATAGGGTGTAGCCAGCAGCCTACACCCAGATAAGCAGGGATTAACACCAGGCAAACAAACAAGCAGAAAACAATGCCCGAATCAAGGAACTACCAAGGAGAAAACCACACCCCCACCAATGCTGGCAGGGCAAGCTACTGTATATAAACAGGGAGCAAGCCCCACACTCACCAGCACTGATCATGTTACCTAGTTGGGTGATGAAACATCTGCAAGCAAACAACCAAGCTCAGAGGGCGCAAAGGACTCCATAAAACCTTCTATCTATAAATATCTTGAAAACATACCGTGATAATTAGAAATCAGCATGGATTTATCAAGTATAAGTTTTGTCTGTCTATCCTATTTTATTTTTTTGTATCAGGTAATTTTTTTCAGTAGATTATGAGGACAATGGGGACACAATGGATCTTGATTTCAGCAAGTATTTGACAATGCATCCCATGACATTCTGATTACACAAGCAAGTTTAGTATGGGATGGATTGCATATCTATCACTCTAGATGGTTCCACAGCTGGTTTGAAAACAAGACAGGTGATCAGTGGTTCCTTACCAAACTGGACTGAATATTATTTGGGATGCCGCAAGGTTCAGTTAACATTTTACTAATTGTTTGGTATGGAGTAGTGTGAATACTTATCAGATTTGCAGTTGAAATAAAATGTAGTGAGATAGCTAATACCCCTTTTCTATCTTTAATAGAAACAACTGCTAATTTTTTCATTTAGAAAGTAGAAATTCAATGCACAAGAGTAGAGTGGAGGTTATCTGGTTTGGTAATAGCACACATGAACTAGTTCTTGGAAATGTTATTACAAGCTGAAAATGAATGAATGGTGTGACATGGCTTGTAAAAAGTCAAATGCAATTTTATGCTACATCAAAATATAATTTTGAAATCATCAGAAATATTAATTCCCTTGTATTCTACACTGATCAAATCCCACTTCAACTATGTCCGTATTTTCAGAAAAACTGAAACAGATGCAGTGAAAGGCAATGAGAAAGACCGGGGGACTGAGGAACTGGATATAGATAGTACTGAGAAAAGATGAGTGTTGGTAAGATAACACTTTTTAAAGAAAAGTGCTATGCAGAAGAGAGAAAAGACTGGTTCCCTATCATTTCAGAGTATCAGGTATGAAATAACAGTCTTGAGTTACACACAAGAAGATTCTGATTGAACATTAGGAAAAACTTCGTAAGAATAAGAGAAGTTTGTCAGTGGCACCAGTTACCCAGGGAAGTGGTGGATTCCACTGGATGACTTAGGAAGAGGATGGGCAGCCATCTGTCAGAGATGCTTTATTTTGGGTTCCTCTACTGGGCATGGGCTAAATGGTCCAGTCCATCTCTGATTCTGTGCAACTATAGGAGAAGAATAACAATTGTTAATAGTCACTAAGCACAATGGCTTCCTACTGGAGACAGGTCCTAGCAGTCTGAGTAGATAATGCCTCTTTTGGGGGGAGAGGTCAGCCCCTTCTGTCCTCAACAAGGCAGTAATGTGACTTATGGAATAATGCTATGGATTCAAAGGGGTCCGCAAAACTTTATGTGCATGAACTGTTCCATGTGTGAAACAGTTGGTGGAGAGGTCTAAACTGAAATATGCACATTTGGGTCCATATACTGAATGAAACAGGATTGTTTTGTTCCCCATATAGACTGAAATATGATTGTTCTGGGCAGAGGTAGTTTGGGAGGGAAGACTGAGAAAAAGCAATGGCTGAAGAGTTTCCTAGGCAGTAGCATGCATGGATATTACTAGTGGCAGCAGCAACTGAGGGGAGACAAGGGGAGGTGCAGGGGAGGTGCAGGGAGGGTGGGCCCGTGGGATATGCTGAATTATGACATTGGTGACAGTGGCTACGGGGGGAGCAGGAAGAGGGAAAACATTGAGAAGATGGTAGGTTCAGGCCAGTTAGCAACCCATGCAGAGGAGGAAGGAAGAGAGGGATGAGGCACAGCAGTGTTGCCCTGCTCATCCTGTAAGAATCACTCTAGGATCCCCCTATATTTTGTTTTGGCTGAAACCCAGAAGAACCAAACGTTTCTTTCTGCCTAACCAGGCTTGAATAAAAATGGTTGGACAGAATTTCCAATATGTGATTTCTGTTTCAGGTTTGAAACAAAGCATACTTTCCATTTCCTACATATTCCTAAAATCAATGTTTTCCAGTTTTCCTGTTTAAACAAAGTTCTAGATAAGGTGACAGATTTTCAATTCCAGATTTTTAAACCAATTTGGATATATTTTAGCCTTGATTCTGATCACGTTATGGAACATAAACAGCCTTGGTAGTTCTAGTGAAGGAGCTTCACTGTGGACTGGATTATATGATTGCAGCCTGTCATTACTTGACCTCACCAATCATGGTTATTTACATGGTGGTAGGAAGCAAAGTGTTACTATAGTTCTAGTCATGTTTGGATAATCGATCAAAGAAGACTGTTGAGTGAATTCTGTTTCATTCTTTGGTCTTTGATTTGAAGTTGTAATTATTTCATACAATTTTAAACCATATCTCAGAATCATTTTTTGAAACCTGGTACTGGAAGTGTTATGCCTTTTCAAAAGAAAAAAGCGAATGGGAAAAGAGTCTTTCACTCTTCACTGTGAGGAAGTAGGTATAAACAATCCTCTCCATTGCTGTTTTCATGGAGAAAATTCTAAAATTTTACATAAACCATTTGAGTCTGTTCATCTTAGATGTGAAGGAGATCCAAACTGAGAAATAGTAATTGGCTTTTCAATAATTGTGTGAGTAAACAGTTGTTCAGCTGGGCGGGTAAACATGTTCTGGATTCTGGTTCAGTTTTTATTGTTTTCTTTTATGACTTCTAGAAATTTTTACTTGATGTTTTATTTCAGAGTAATGGTGATTTTTTTCATATCAAACTAATATGAAGTTACTGTTTAATTTCAGGAAACAGTGACATGAAACACTGAAAGGTTATGCTTGTACCATTGTACTGCTGGTAGGGCACTGCTAGGAATGTTTATGAAGAAGTAATCTGTGCATGCTAAGCAATTCTTCCCATATCATGAAAACCATCAAAAATTAAATCCTTAGCTATAGTGGTTAAGACAATCCAATTTACAAGAAGTTTTACACATGGATTCTATTCCAGCATGAGTAACAAAGCACAAGAATGTTGATCCACAAAAATGTAAGCAGTGAACTATTCAGGAAATATTGTGCTACTGTAGTTTCTTGGAATTAAAAAGAGGATATAAATGTAATAACAAAATGTTAAGTATATGTAGCCAACAGGCAAAATCCAAGTGCATATGGTATCAGCATAAGGGATTCTTCCTCTGCCTACTGCTGTCCTTGTTCTCCCCATCTCTGCTCCAAAGGATTGGTTGAACCTTCAAGAACAACTTTGGTAGATATAGGAGAACAATAATGAGATAAGGAATCCCATTATGCAAATAGAATTCTGTTCCTGCAACATTTCTCAGCATGAACATTTCATAGCCAGTTAATTTCTTGTACACTACTTAATGAAAATACAAGTTGATTACAGCACATTTTAAAAAATTCTCTCCTCCCCTACCCCTGACCTTTTAAGATTGAAAACATAGATGTGTGCCTGAGTTTTCTGGCTGCCAAAGGAATAAACATACAGGGACTATCTGCAGAAGGTAAGTCTAATTTCATAGTGAATTTTATTATTTTATGGGAAATTTTCTATCTGCAAATTTTTGTTTGGGATTCAAAACATACAGTGATTTCCAACAGCAATAAAATTAATGAGATAGAGGGAAATCTGGTTTATGCTGATTAACACTAGCAAATCATAGTAATGATAATAATATAAGTCATAATAGCTATTAATTATCCTCACCATCAATGTGTTATATAGTAATAGCAAGAAGTCCATGCCCTAATGGATTTAAAATCCAACATTCATCACAGGGAAACAGAAGGAGGAAAGCATGATGAAGATTTAAGTAAACATGGGAGGACTGTGTATTCAGGCCATTTTTTCTAAAGCTTAGTTTCAAGGCTTCAAGTTTGGATTAGAGAAAGATTTTGAACAGGCACACTATTCAAATCTGATTACAATATAATAGCAAAAAAATCCAAAAAAGCTTTGAAGGTAAGTGCAAGAAATTCATCATAGATCTTGAGATATAAACGTTTAGGGGGAACGGTCACATGGTCAGGGCAAGAGAAGAGGCTAATGGTTTTGAGATGACAACAGTGGAAAATCATAAGATGAAATGTTTCACAATGAAAAGCCAAAAAGGGGGAAATTATTGTATAAGAAAAAAAATGACTAGGAAGCCATGTAAGAACTATTTGTAGAAGAAAAAGCAATAGGAATATGTTAAGTAATGGTCAAATTACCTTATTTTACTTAGACAAGACAATTTGTGGACTTTCTGCCAATGAAGAAACCCAAGCCATTCATAAGAACAGCTGCCTCATACTAAATCTTAATCCATTCAGCTCAGTGTTATCTTCTATGGTGACTAGGGATAACTGTCTGAAGTAGTCTTCAGAACACAGTGTTTGCCAGCCCCACTTGTAGATGCCAGGATTAAACAGAAATATAATCTAACTTGTGCTGTACCCCTGAGCTATGACCCACCCATTCTTTCTTACTAGATAAGACTGCTGGATATAACAAGTGTGTTTTTTTTAACTTATTGGAATGCACATTAATTAAAAGGTATAAGTTCACTCTGTTCCATCTCTATTCTACTTCTGTCCTTTCATTGTTTTCTTCCTTTTATTTATACCAGGGAAGAGTTACTGCTTCCTTTTCTTAAAAATACCTTCAGATCTATTGGGATCTAATATAGTCCTATTTCTATCAGTTTTAATAATGGGTGTAAGTAGGGGCTGGTTTTATTTTTGTAAATGCAATGCCATGTTGCCTTGACAAAATTAATGGCTGTTTACACCGACATAGATAATCTAGGTCCAGAAATGCATTGTACTTTGAAGGTAATTTAATTTATATTTTGCTTTGGTTGGTTGGCTGGTTTACTCTATGTAAAATTCTCTGGCTTTTACCCAAGTTTTCAGCATCTCTGCTTTTGTTTTTCTAGACTGCTTTGTGTACTCAGAAGGTGATTGGGCTGACACTGAAAAGTATTTGCATGTGTATCTCAGTTCCAAGGTGAACTTTTACTTTCACTTGCATATTTGTAAGTGGAAACCAGTTTAAAAGAAAACCCTTCAATTAAATGGCAGTAAAATCTGTTGTTGTATGTTCTACCTCACATCTCTCTCACTAATCTCGGAGTGGTTGGATTTGGAAATCAAGGTGAGACTATTTTTTCTTGGTCATTTACCTGTGAGACAAGTTGCATGAGATATGGATATCTCTGCAAACCATACACTTTTACCTTCCAAACTAGTAGCATAGTTTCCTTGACAGTAAAAGCAGCCTCTCTACCATTGAGTTCACACAGCCACTTGAGCTTAGTGAATTTGAAAGAATGTTTGTAGGTATCAGCTGCCAGAATGCTTAAGGGGAAGATCCACAACTCAGAGAAGTCCTCCCAGCTGATAAAGAGATTTTATTTTTTCGGTTGTGGCACTCTGGTAGCCTGCAAACAGAATTCTTTGCCTCTGAGCATTAACTCTATGATTACTGGGGATAATTATACTGTTTTTCTAGCTGTCTTCCACTCTGGTTGATTGTATTTATGCATGAAGGAAAAATCCTGAGTGGGCAGAAAGGACAGATAGCACTGGATTCTCAAATTTACATTCAAAGTAGCCTAGAATGACAAGATACAGATTTCTGTATTTCTCTGAATAAGTTATGAAGTTCATCTCTTTGGAGAATGATCAAGTGCTTCCAGTAAAGCCTGATTAATACTTGTCTTTATATTCTCAGAATCTAATGACTCACAGCTGAGTGGTTTGTTAGGCGAGCGTTCTGTTTGGGGTTAAATGCAAAATGACACAAATGTAGTTGCAGAGATTTTTGAACAAAGCCTGCACAGCTTCTGTGTTCAGGTTGCTCCACCTCTCTCTTGTGCTTCTCCATTGGCCTTCCTGCATGTCTTCCTTTTCTCTTGCTTGAGAGCTGAGTGGTTTTATACCTCAAGGAGAAAACAAATACTAAAATTTAAAAATGGGGTAAAGGAAATCAAAGTAACCAAAAGAACAGAAACTTCACAGCATGGAAGTTTTCAAACTCCAGACTGAAAAGAAACCCTCCGTGCCTTAAAAACTGTGACATCTGGCAGTATTTTGTTTTCAGCTTTTTTAAACAAAAAAACAAATCCTTTTTTGTGGCCGGAATGGAAATGACTAGGTCATACACTCACAGGGTTGAAACTTGGAGCCTCTGTACTTAAACAGACCTAAAAGGGAGAAGGCGGTAGTAGGAGGAAGTAATTCAGACCATGCTTGATGAGCCCTCTGTGTACAAAGTCCAGTTGCAAGATGCCAGGTAAATTACCTCAGCCCATCTTTTGAGATAAGAGAAGAAGAAATACATTTGTAGAGTTCATTGGAAGCAGAGTTTATGGTTTATTTTGGAAGCACTGAAACCAGCACACAACAAAGTCCAGTAACGGATTGCTTTTTCCATCTTGGGGTATCAAATTTATTATTAATACCTTTGAAGAGTCAAGTTACTGAGGCTTTTAATTGCGTTTGTCCTTAATGGCATTTTCCTGTACAGTCAAGCCCCAGACTATTGGAGGTTTACATGACCCCTCTCACATGTTGAAAGTATGCATGAAAAGGTCATGATGGCTGACCCACTCCTGCTGCGGAGACACACCAGGCCTTGCCATTCGGCAGTGGCATGTTTGTATGAGGTGAATACAGTCATGGGAGAATATGTCTTGATGCTCACAGGGTGGCTTTATTTGGCTTCCATATATGTGGGGATCTTAACTCTGCAGCTGCCCCAGGTGTGTTTTCAGTAGGCCAGGGCATTTGCTCCCCAGTGTATTCTGTAAGTTAGGAACTACAAATAACCCAGACAAAAGACTCAAAGGAAACAAAGAAATGGGCAAGAATTTGAATGGCACTTCATTATTTCCTAACACCAGATTCTGTCACTGATTTTTACTTTCCTTGACTTTTTCATTGAGTGTACAATTATTTGCCTTGATCCTGAACTGAAGCTACTTGGAGGACCATGGTCACGAGAAGCAATTGGTATCTCCCTTTACCTAAAAAGAAGAAAGGTTGAGTTTCTTGGAGGATTCTTTTGTTTCTGCAAGGGACAGCACACCTAATTTAATTAATCAATTCTTTGATTTTATTTTGATCAGTTGGGTCTTCAGGGAGCCTGAGCTGAATAAAGAAAGTTGATATTGAACAAAACATTTGTTCAAATGAATCAAGTGCCTTGGTTGCTGATATAAATACTTCTTTTGAAATTGCCTTTCAGAGATCAGGAATGGGAATTTAAAGGCCATCTTGGGCCTTTTCTTTAGTCTGTCGCGCTACAAGCAGCAGCAACAGCAGTCCCCAAAGCAACATTCAGAGCATTCTCCGTCCCAGCAACCGCCCACCTCATCCCAGCAAGCAGGCTCTCCTTCCCCCAGCCAGGTGGGACCACCAGACCAGCAGTTACAGCCACAACCACCGGTGCCAGCTTCACCTCAGACTCAGTGCCAGCACCCCCCACAAGCACCACAGCTTCAGTTAAAAGCACAACCAGAAATGCAGTCCAGGTGAGTGGCCTTCTTCAACCCCCCTTCCTTTTCCAAATGCCAAGAGTTTCACAGCAAGTTATTTGGGTACATTTGCACCTACAGTAGATGCCCCTAATAAGAAGGAAGGGGGTCAGCCATTATTTTCAAGCTCTGCCCATTGTCTTACGAGTTCATGTACAGGTAGTCCTCGCTTAATGACGGTAATTGGGACCAGAATTTCTGTTGCTAAACTATGTGGTTGTAAAGCATGATGTCACGTAATTGTGCCGCTTAGTGATGGCAGTTGTGCCAGTCCCTGGTTACCGTCGTTAAGTGAGGACTGTGCAGTTCATTAAGCAAGAACTCCCATGACTGTTATGTCCAACTTCCTGCTGGCTTTCCCATTGACTTTGCTTGTGGGATGCTGCAATGGTTGGAAATCCAGGCTGGTTGCAAAGTGCCCGGATTGTCATCATGTAACTGCAGGGGTGCTGCGACAGCCAGAACTTCAAGGACTGGTCATAAGTATCACTCGTTCAGCGTTGTTGCAAGTTCGAACATTCGCTGAACAAGTGGGTATTAAACGAGGACCACCTGTAATTGCTAGTATGCAGACTGATAGAAATCTCAAAAGGTTGATGAATCCTGAAAAATCTCAGCATGAGATTGCATGAATATTCTGTCTTATTGTATGAGATTTATGTGGTCTCAGGCAAGAATACCAAAGTTCCATGATCTAGGATGATCTTGTGAACTTTCAGCCATTGTTACCATTTTAATTTTGTTCTTTTAAATTTTTTAAAGTTGTGGAATGTTCTATTTTAAATACAATAATGTATGTAATTCTGAGGATTTCAAATACTCCTTAAGGATCATTTAGTGCCATCATGCTCATGGAGACTGTAGTAGTACCTGAATTTCTGATCCTGGCAGTCAGTTTGAAAACCACATCAATTTTGCAAGGAGATGGAGCAAAATAATATATACTAGAAGACTGAAAAACTCTGATCACATTGTCAGCTTTTCAGCAATTGAGCAGGGTGGGAAGAACTACATTCAGGCCTGCCCTCTGAACAGCTGATCATGCAATTATTGTTTTGCAAGTGAGCTCCATTTGTGCAGTCTTGGCAACTGGATTGTAGGGGAAGGACCTGTATGCACAAAAGCCACATGTGCCTGGGATTCCAGTCATGGAAATAGGTGCAGAAATTGCTTTCCAGAAATATGTATTCCTTAATTGGACTGGAATGACTATATGCAAATTCCAATATGGTTGCAGTTACTGACAAGAGAATTCCTTGTTAAATTCTTTACACAACTGTGTATGCTTTATTTTGCCATCATTAAAGTCAGGTAATTGGATCTTCCAGTGACTGGAGATGATTGGATTTTTCAATATTGTTTTTAATGCTTTACAGCAGTTGCCAAGACAGAAGGAAGAATGGTAGCCCCATGCTGCTTCCTCATTCCCTTTCCCTATAAACAGCTATGAGCTTTGTTGGGGAGAGCGAAGTGTAGAACATGGGGATACCTGCCTTTTTAACTGGAGAACAGTGGTGAATCTTTCAAGAAAAGGATCCTGATGGATGTGTGTGTGTGTGTACACACCCATTCACACATACTTGTAATAGGGTCACTGGAAGTAGTTTTTTTTAATGTACCATCCCTCTGAAACATTCAAAGTATGTCTTCATATAAGAAAAACTTTCCTACAAGGAATACAATTAGCATTATTTTCAGCACAGCACAATATCTATTTTTGTCAGTAACAAAAAAACACTAAGCCATAAAACCTCTTTACAGCCTACAGATTGTTTATTCTATTTCTATTGATTAAATTGTCATTAAAAAAAGTAAAATGCAAGTGATGAAAATAAGTGTGTGTGTTTCAGTAAATATGAGGATCATAAATATTGAATTATGCTATTGCTTTCCTTATTTTTTTCATGGTGAGGTTTTCCTCTTCTATATTCCTTTTGATGAAGCTTTCTTTAGCATGCACCCTCATGTGGTGAAATTTGGTATTTCTCACAATAACAAAATTTTTATTCTCATATAAGCATCAAAGTGGACTCAGTTATATGGGGCATGTCTCATCATATCATCCTGTGGGATTTTTACCATTTTAGAAATGTATAAAACAGAAAGTACATTCACCTGTGAAGTTTTGCAAAAAGTTTATTTGATTGTGATAAAATTTGCATGTTCTAACTCTTTACTATCGTTGCTTTTATAAATAGAAGCTTATAGTAGGTACCATGTCTAGACCTTTGACTGGGGTGAGCAAAATTATTTTCTCCTTTGGAAACATCTGGATAAATTGTTTCTCCATATCTTTTAGCTCAGTGGCTTTCTATATTAATATTTTTTCTTTACTCACTCGCATCTTCCAATTTTTTTTTCCTTTCTTGTTGTACAGTGCATCACCCAGGGATTCATCTCAAAGCAAAATCATCCGATTCACTCTCGGTCAGAAAAAGACTTCTAGGTTAGCGTTTCTTCCTCTGACGTAAAGCATGGATAACCCCATTTGCAAAAATCCCAGTCTGCATGTTTCAGGCTTCACCAATGCTTATCTGTTGATTTTAAACCAAATATTAAAAATAACCTGAGAGAACTCTTTTTATTTAATACTAGCTGATTAATTGATTGCCTTAATCTCGTACCCCTTCCTCTGAACAGAGGGGTTCTTGTTGGCATCTTGTCTCTATTGATCCGTATCTCAGAAACTAAGTTATAAATAATAAATATAATAAATACATACTGAGCAGATTTAATAATAGCTTGAAAATGGGTAGATCTAATTGATGACAGATAAAACTATTCATAACAGTAACACAACAGTCTATGTCAAATATGATTCACATCTGTGTTTCAGCTTATTAAAATGGGATGGGCACACTACTAGTTCCATTCCCAGGATTAGACACTTGTTTGGGATCTTCTTTGATATCGGTACTTGAACCGCCGAGGCACAATGTATGCTTCCACACTGTCAGGTTCCATGGGAGTCCCAAACACATGGAACTTTTTATGTATGTGCAGCTCCTCCCACACAGCTAGATGTTAGCATTTCAGTTGCCCTCACCAAGGCACAAATATATGGAGGCCATATCATCTACGCCTGAACAGGCTTAAATGACAAAGTAAATGCTGTCAATTTTCCATGGTGGAAAAAGACATAAAATTGTTAATCTCACCCTTCCCTCTGTTTTAACTTTCTTTCTAATTACTCTTTATTGCTGATGCCTTTAACATCCAATTAGTTTCCTCAACACTAACAAATAGCAGTGAGTATATCTCCTATGTCAAGTGATGGAACACAGTGTCATACATGTCATCTTTTTTTCTGGATGTCTTCTGGATAGCAAACTTCTAATCTGCCTGGGAATGAGTAATAAGGTTTTCAGTCCATTCATATGTCTCTAAGATTTGTCTCTAATCTTTAGAAATGCCTATGTTATTTATCACAGATTAAAGTTCTGGTGACAAACTTTAATAGAAATGCTCCATAAATCTGTATCATAGAATGCACTATTACGCTGTGCCTTTTTGTCCACAAACTGCAAGACATTACTTTTGTTCTGTAATTTACATGCCTTCCTCTCAGCTGTCTGTTCACTCTTTGGTGCAGAAAATTGCAGTATTTTACAATAAGTGATCCATTCCTTCATCAGTCTTGCTTCACTGCCATTATACTTATCTGCTCTGTAAATACAAAACGTCTTGCTCAGTTAGAGTCAAATTGGACATGATATGAGAGTACAGAAATGGTCCTGATAAATATTTTTTTCTTTTAACTGAAATGCAGCCACAGCAAGAATGAAAACTTTGGTAGAAATTTTGAACAAAACTGGGCAGTGTTTCTACCTGCATATCAGTCTTTTGAGGTTATCCATGTTTGGGTTCCTTGAGGAGGAATATCTTGTGTAGTTTTGTTCTGTTCATATGATTAGAAATAGATATGGGAGAAGTATTCTCAGATACCCAACAGACATAATGGGCAGGTGGATAAATATAAGTTCTATATTAATATCTGTTCTCCTTTCAGCCAATGCTAGCTCTGCATGAATGCTTTTGCTCTGTCAATGCCAGTCCCACAAAAGCATGCAAAGTGAAATAATGCCTTCTTTTCTTTTCCTTTCCTTCTAAGTCTGTTCTGACTCCGCCATTGTAGTTTTTGTTTGGGTCTCCTGTATCCAAGGCTGTTTACATGTGTGCATTTGGGATGATTGCCACGTACAATTCTCTGATGATTGTCTTACTGTCCTTACTTTGGCTTCTTCTTCAGAAGCATTTGAAAACAGAAGAGCTCATCTTTGTAAAAGCAAGCCTCATGTTTTATGTTTCAGTAGTCAGTGGAAGTAGAGAGCTAAAGATGCTGATTTGTGCTTGAACATGTAATCAGTAAGCTTTGAAAGCATGTGCATGCATCTTCTAAGGCTGACCTGTCTTCTTACCTCCCTTTTCTCTCCTCTCCACCTCCTGGACACTCTAGAAACTGTTGGGAAGGAAATCTTGCCAACATTTCTTTTTCTGAGTCATAAAAGTGCCATTGGAGTAACAAAGGTTTGTAATGTGCTAATCAGATGGTTTTATGGTATATCTCAAGAACATTGCATTCTGTATTAAGTAAGAAAAATGTAGTAAGCTATTTTAATACCTGAGAACATTGACACATAAGTTGTTTCTTGCTAAAAAGGCATCAACTGCTGGAAACTTCAGTACCCAAGCTGTTGCCAGATGAAGATGAGTTACATAGAAATTATATAATAGGCCTTTGCAGTAGAAATTCTAGATGCATTGCACCAAACATGATTTATATTGCTCATTTCATTTTGTTCTATGTAACTTGATTAAAAACATGAACATTAAGCGTGCAAATATCAAAGCATCAATCATAAATACACATATTTGGGAATCACACCAAATTGAGTGTGGCTTATTCCAAAGCAAATTGCCAAGGATTGTGCTGCATATTTTCAATCGAGAGCCCTGAATATCAACTCTAGAATCTAGTATTTGGGGCAGAATCTCAATCTCAATCTCTCTCTCCCTCAGTATTTCTGAGTCAGACAACATAATCCATCATGTCTTTGGTTAATGTTCATATAGGTATATAAACTTACATAAGGATTCCTTCAGTTGTCGCTTGCATTTGTAATCTAGCATATACTTAGGTTGAGAAGAAATCAGTGTAACTAAAGACTGTGTGGCATGTTGCAGCCTACATAGCCAGATACAGAAACTATACCTCTCTCTGGGATTCAGTGCAGGAAAGGTTTTGTAGCTAGTGCATCAATCATGTGTCATAACTAGAACAGAGAAACTGAGGAAACACAGTCTCTGAAGATATGATTTATAGTTTTTCACTAATAAACTCATACACACGCACACATGCATATATGTATACGTATGAGAAATAGGCACACCATCCAAATCCAGCTGTGATATGGCAAAGTCAAGATCTTTTCAAGGAGACTAAAATCAGTTAGTGATCACTGTCATTATTTAGAACTGGGGCTCCTTGAAGCAGAATATTTCAATAACGACAGAATCAAACATTTAGATTTAAATGTTTTGATGCCTAGTGATTCAGTGAAATGTTAAGTACCAATAACACATGGACAGAAAAAGGCTAACTGGTCCCCTATGGTTGGAAAAAGGTATATATGCCTTGCATGGACATGGATGCTGACTCCATCTAACTAGTTACGGAAGGCTTTGCACTGGAACTGCATAGAAATACAGGAGTATAAGCTCTTTACTTGGTCAGGTGTCTTTGTAAAGGAGGTAAGCCCCCCTCCAATTTGACGTGAACTTAAATCAGCTCCATTTACATTTTGAGAGCAAGCATGTTTACTTATTTCTTTTTACCCTGAAAACAGGCTTCCAGGTCCTACCACGAGGGTTTCAGCTGCAGGCAGCGAAGTAAAAACCCGTGGTCCAGCAAGTTCGAACAATCGGCGCAGCCAGAGCTTTAACAACTATGACAAATCCAAACCCACAAGCCCACCATCCCTTCTAGCAAGTAGCAGTGAGAAAGGTGAGTGAACTGAAGTTTGTGTTAATACACTACACATGCTATTCCCAATCACTGAATAAAAATCTGACCAGATTTTTTGAATGGTTGTAAATAAATGACATGATTCAGCCAAAATTAATCATTTTCAAGTATGTTTAAAATACAACTTAATTTGACTGCATTTTGCCAGTAGGCCCTTCTTTATGTGGTATTGTGGAAATTCTAAATGTTTTCCTGTTTTCATTTTTCTTGTTTAAAAAGTTTGTTTGTCATAAGGAAGGAGATGGCACAACATTTGCCATATAGGTATTGTTTTAGAACTGAATTATACATGTTTCACATATGTTGAAGATGTTGGGACTGTACAAAAACTTGAGAGATCAAGGAATGTTGGCTTCTAATCTATATTAGAGGAAATCAACTAGGTGAATTTGGCTGCATATGTAGAATGAAACACTGCATTGAAGAATGACATGAAGTTGCTTCTCCCTGATTGACTGCCCTTTCCCACTTGAAGTATGACATCTACTTTCTGGCCATTTTATAGGGTATTCTGTTCCAGTCTTTGTCTTCCATGGTGAATACTTCTCCACTCCACATTATCACAACCCCTTGGACTCAAAACAAAAGTTTGTAACAATAAGCATGTGTTTTGGGGGCCATGTGCGGGGGGAGGGGGTATCAACTGGGAAAAAGAGTATATAGGATCATAGGAAACTGCCTTAAACGAACATGGTAGAGCTTTGCTCTGTCTAATCCATCTTGCAGTACTTCTCCAGGTTTTTAGCTAGAAAGTTTTCCAATCTTATCTGGACATTCTGAAACTTGCATCTGGGATGGTCTGCATAGAAAACATGTGCAACCTCATTTACATATTTCAGAAGCTGTTTTGTCAAAAAAAGGGAGCCTATTGAGAATAATTACTTGCATTTAAAATTAATGCCTAATTCATATAATCAAATGAACAGGAAAGCACCCCTTCCTTATGTTAGTGTTCTTAGAGATTCCATTAAAGGGATTAAAAAGGAATTATTCCTATTCTTAGCCCTGCTAATTCTGGATTTTGTTTTACACATGCGCTCTATTTTTATACTAGAAAATAAGATATAAGTGAAGATTCAGATGGTATGCACTGCATATAACATCTTCTATTTGAAACCATGGCTGCAATTCACCATGACTGAAGCAGATTCCTTGTTAGTCTGTAACCTTTCTCACCAGCAGTGTTGCCCTGGCATCCATATAATTTTGTTTTGTTGTTTAGAAAATAGTATCAGCCCCAGGGAAGTAGGAGCTGAAAATCCATCCCTTTGAAGTTGCATATTCTTGATTAAGAGCAGCCACAAAAGTAAACATCTCAAGCGCATCTCTAATGTTTTCGTATAATAAATCAGCCTGTTGACTTCTACTCCCTACTTTCCATGGAGAGGATGAAGGATTCTGAATGTACATGATTTAAATTTAATTTCAAGGATCATTGAGTACAGGGTTGATAGCTGTAAATGTGTTCTGTTGTTACATAAAAAGGAAGAACTCATCATGAATGCAGATTTTATATGTATTCTTAAGAGGTGCTCTGTTGTATTAAGCTTATTGAAAATGGTCCTTTCACTTAATTTAAAAGGATAGTAAAATATGATTTAGTGTTTTATAAACTTTGATATAATGGTAGTTTCAAAGGATACAAAAAGATATTTATTTAATGTATTTATCTCACAAAGCATCTGGAAATGATTTTCACAATAAAGCAAATTCATTAAAATACCAATACAATACAATAAAATGAGATTTTCAAAAACATCCAAATTAAGGTCCAAAATCCAGCATGGAGAATGAACTCATAACTATCATGATGTAAAAGCAGTGGTGGGACTGAAAAGTTATATGTTCCTGACAAATCTATATTCATAACTTCTCAGCTTGTGTGTTCTCAGGCCAGATTTTCTTTCCTATTGAATCATTTCTATTTTCTTATTTTCTGTGTCTTTGTACTTGGGCTGGTAATGCTTTTGTTGCAATTCTGGAAGAACTCATACTCATCAAGACATTAATAACAAAGAGATATTAGCCTGCATACAAATACTGCCCAACTGGGTTTGGCGACATGTGCATATATTCTTTCTATCTTCCCCCTTTCTGTTTTATTAAACACAATTGAAAAAGTTACTCACACAATGATAGTTACCTTCAAAAATAAAAGTATCCTATGCATGCCTATTTGGAAGTAATTTTCAGAAAGGCATTATTATTGCACACAGAAATAACAAAGAAAGTGTGAAACACATTTCTACCTAGATGTAACAAAGTTGTTCTAATCTTTTTTATTCAGTCAAGGTGTATCTTCTAGTCACATGGGAATTCTAGATGAGTAGATTTTGTCTGTGATAATGGGAACAGCGTAAAGTTCCATAAGACTACTGGAGCTTAATGAAAAGCCCTGATATAGCTTCAAAAAGAAATAAAAGCAGTGATGAGACCAAAAAGTCAGAATAAAAGTAGAATGGAGAGGTTAAAAAAAAAAAAGTGGGCGTGGCAATAGAAAAGGTATATGCCTAGATCAGAAGCTCTATGGGTTGGGTGGGAAGCACTGGAGGACCAGAAGTTTGTCATTCTTCCTTAAACTATGAGGCCAAATTGTTAGCTTATGCAGCATTTAACCATCATGGCTAAGAACAACCTAACAAAAATGACACAGTGGCATCTGAAAAACTTATCTCTTTACTGCTTGAAATCTTGCTAGAAGTAAAATGTTGTGAGTGCTCAGTGTGGTCTATGCATTCATCTCTTATATTACTGCTCACTATTCAAGTGAGTAGAAATTGAATGCACTGATTTCTTAACTTATCAATATCATAGCCTGCCTTAGTTTCTAATGTTCTATTCGTTGTCACTATAATTAATGGTTTTGTAATAATAATGGGCAGTTCAACCACTGAGTTTCTGATGTGAACTGTTGAACGTTTTGGCCTGTTAAAGAGTTTTTGTTTGTTTGTTTGTTTGTTTGTTTTAATAATTGGCAGTAACTGAACACAGCTCTAATGACATCTTGGTCACTTGGGTTTATAAAGAAAATGATGAAGCATTCAGGCTTACAATGTCAGCTGCAGCCTTTCAGCTTCTGTGTAATTAAACATTGCACTTCACTTCTGAATTGTCACTACCACTTAGGCATCCTTATCTAAAGTATCCATTGGGGGTTTTTTTTCTTTTCTGTTTTCTGTGAATAAACTGTGGCATAAACTTCTGCCCTCGGACAAGGCCATGCTGGAGTCTTCTTAATTACTTGAAACATTTCTGTATAATCTAATAAACGTGTATTATCTGTACAGAAGCCTTACATTCATCATTCTGTACTATATCTCTTAGGGTACATTTATCTTTAAAACTCCTTGTGTCTCATGTCTCACTGGATTTTTCTCACTGAATGTATATAACCATTTAAATAAACACAGAAATGTTCCAATCTCAGAAGTATGTTCCCATGAAACACTGTTCCTTTCATAGTTTGAGTTGCAGAACAAGTGCCTCTCGGAATACTGTAGCAAAATTAAAAATTAACGAAGCACTACAAAACAACTCAATAGCATGTCCAAATATTTCATTCAACTGGACTAACAAACATCATTTTTGAAATCAACCGTTTTAAGCTTATTCTGACCAGTTGGTTTACCTGTTTAATTACAATAATTGGTTGGTTTGGTTGTGCCCCAGCCCTTCTTTTCCCTTAACCATAAAATCATATTGTTAATCTGATGTTACAAGTCCTTGTAATGTTCTTTAACAGAGGAATATTATTTTGTCTGGAATGTTTCTCTTCATAATCTGGACTTGAAAATAATCCTGCAGGTGGCAGTATACATCTGGAGAAATAGTTCAATTCTGTATCAGTCAGTGTAGGGCAAACTTTCTCGATCTGGTGTCCTCCAAGTGTATTGGATAACAGTTCCCAGAATTCCCAGTTATGGACAAAGACCTTTTCATCTGGAATTCTGGGAGCTGTATCAAAATTATTTCTGGAGGACACCAAGTTATTAAAGACAATGTAGTGTATTTAATTGTTTTCTAAGATACCATTCTGTTGCATAGTATCTTTCAATTAATTTTAAAGTTTTTTTAATGTAGTTGGGAAAATTCTGAATTGCACGTAAACAGACATAAAAGAGTCTTGCAATCTTTTTGATGCAAATATATTTTTTATTCACAATGTTTGATTCCTCCCATCCACAACCAGTTTTCTGAGAGAAAACTGGTGTTTGAAGAATGTACTTAGTTTTCTTTCTTTGCCATAAGAATGGCCCAGTTTATACCCCTATACAATTTTGAAGGTCAGAATATGTTCATTCATATTCTGAAAACCAGAATTTGGAATATAAAAATATGCACAAATAGTTTACTCACAATTTCATAACAGTACAACCCCAAGTGTAAGTGTAAGTTTGAATCATGTCAGTCATTACAATTTATTTTCAAATACATATGAAACTTAAGTAATTTTTTTAAAAAATAAGTTCAGTACTGACTGCATCCACTCTTTCTCTCCCTTGCCCCCTATTTGTAGTTCTCAGAACACCGTACAAAAGGACTTTTTTACGCTTTAGATATAAAAATACCATACTAATTGTTGTTGTTTTTTTAAATATCCATATCACATAAAGGGATATATCCCATTCTGTTGTGTTTTTCTCTAGGAAATAATATCAATTCACTAAACTTTATTCAAGGATTATTTCATCCAACTCCATCTGTATATGCATTATAATGTATACATTATATGTAAAATGTATGCTTTACACTATGTTTTAACATCTTTTCCTAATGGCTGGTGTGGGTCTTCCGGGCTGTGTGGCTGTGTTCTGGAAGTTTTGGTTCCTAACGTTTTGCCAGCATCT